CAGTCCTCAAAGAAAGGCCATGTCATGACATGACCCTGCATCTCGAAAGCATGAGAGGTGTTCATCCACCACTCATGTGCATCGCCCTCCAGCATGTATGTGGCGAACGTCAACTTCTGCGGGTCGGTGCACTGCATGACTTTGAAGATCTTATCCAGCACCTGTATCCATCTCGCAGCAGCAATAGGATCATAAGATCCATCAAAAGAGGGTGGTTTATGCTTGCGAAAAGCATTAAGCCGATGGTCAATCACATCGCGATCCTCAGCAGGCCCCAAGTAGGGTTCCATCACCCCAGTACGTTGACTGATACCCTCCACGTGACTCAGGCTATCATCCTGAAGACTATGTGGAGGCGGTGGTGGTGGCGGCGGTGGAAGTGGTGGCGGTGGGAACTGACCCTCATTGGGGCCAGCCTGCATCTCCTCCAACATGACCCTCATCATGGTCATGTTCGTCAGCCTGTTTGCCTCAAGAACATCTTCCCTGGCCTTCCAGTTCGCCTCTCGAACGACGTCCATCATTGCCAAGTTGGCCAATCTAGCGGCCTCATGATCGGCTAGTCTAGCCGCCTGCATCACAGCTAATGCAGTCAGGACCAGGTCGGGTTGACCCTCAGTCGTCTCACGGTTTCTCCGTGGTAGTACCATGACTCTGCACAAGTTACACAAAAAATGAGTTGATCAGGCCCACACAATGTGGTCACATATGCATCATCATAGCAAAACCCAATTGAGAAAACACACAAGACAGCAAAACATCTTAAGTCATTGCAATACATACAGGTTTTTCCCCTAGAAAGTGCTCTGATACCATAAAATGTAACACCCCGTGTATACCCGGTTTGTTAACATGTCATCGTATTAAGCCATGCTTAATTAAAAATGCGGAATATCTTTTTCTTTTCGATTATGACGCTATTATCAATTACCAAGTTGATTACTTAATTCTTTTTCAAAACATTGCCTGTATGTAATTGCAAATAAACAGATATCTACACTGAACGACCTCATAATATAAATACGTGTGTATCTAGTCATGGATCTACAACACGTAGTCTTGACAACATCCTGATTCATTATACATAAAGAGTCTAAATAAAAAAAGTATAAATTAATGTGCATGGACAATCCCCATACTCACCAAATTAATAAGGCAACAAGCCCAAACAAGTCTCAGCAAAAAAAAAAAACATGGTAACGAAATACGCATAATCACTAAACAGGTACATCAGCACAATCAGCAAGCATATCAATCAACTAAGCTCCGGCCTCCTGCCGCTAGAGGTCTCAACCCCTGGGTTACCTGAACCTGAAATAAGCGCCCCAAACATGGGGTGAGATCTCTAAACAGAAATGTCAATAAGGCAAGGGGTCCTCAAGGATTTCTCCACCCCAAGCTCACTTACATGTGCAATATAACTTCTAAAAGCAATTTAACAATATAAGTTCCAAATCAGTGCAATGCAGCAGATAATCATGTCATGGGAGTTAACTATTTTACTGGCCAGAGAAATGCAGGATTTACACACGTCTATTACCCACATTAGTACACGCCCATGACGTACCTGCCCACAGCATCACATTCCCATCTAGGCGAAACATCACATACATATCATAGGCATTTGCACTTAATAGCTCAAAAGCATTTCAATAAATCAATACATGAAAACACATCATGCATATATACCATTCCCCCACGAGGTATGGTGGAACCAACAATGGCTAAACCGAGGACACGAAAGCTTACCTCTTAAGCTAACTATCCAAATAAGAGTCCAATCAAGCTCAAAGTCCACAAACAGCAGAATCACAATTTGTTTAAGACCAGCAATCATATCAACAATCATACTCCACAAGTATATGACATAAAGACAACGCTTCCCTTTACGTTTCGTGTCTTTCGCTTGTCACCAATGTTGGTCGGGCCCTTGGAGTTAGGGAGCTGAGCCTGAGATTCATTAGGCCATAACAGATCCTTGGTAGAGTACGACCTGTTGCCTACCAGCTTTCCTTGCCTCCGAACTTGGCCAACATCCACGACGTGTTTCACGTGTCTCAACTTTGGAAGTACATAACAGAAACTTCGCATGTTGTGCAACCGGACAATGTGAGATAACTTGAAAACTACCATCGGACCACTCAAGATTTTTTATCGTGGCGAGAAGAAGTTGAGGAGCAAGATCATTCCGATAGTCAAAGTGCAATGTACGGGAAGAACTCCTGAGGAGTGCACTTGGGAGCGAGAGGACGAGCTTCTCCGACAGTACCCCGACTTTCGAGACATGTATGTTTCTGATTTTGAGGACAAAATCCTAAAAGGTGAGGTGAATGTAAGAATCTGCACTGTTAAATTAGGAAGTTAATTAATTAATTATGAGAAATTAGAAAATAATTCCATAATTGACACTAATAATTATGATAAGGCTTAAATAATTATGGTAAGTGATTAATAATCCTGAAAGTCGCTTTTCTGGCGAAAAGTGCAGATACCGGTTCCGCTCCTCGGTATAAACGCGTACCGATGAAGTATCCCAGAAAATTATAATAAGTGTGAGAATATTCCTAGAATAATATATAGGACTAGTGTAACAGCCCGTTGTACACTGCTATTGTTAACATTAATTATGATATTAAGCGCAGTTACAATCACAGCAGTTCATTTAGAAAAATGCGAGTAAATTTTTTCCATTTATTACACGAGCATTTAAAACAATAAAAAGCGTAATAAATAAAAGTTGTGACCGTAACCGTAAAATCTTTACGGAATAATTATTTAAACTACTTTTACATCATATATTACTTCTCTCAAGTCACTAAGGGATTCCCATAAACTCACTTAGCTAAAATCTCACTTTTACGTTTTCTACCTATCCGAACATGGTTCGGTCTTTAACTTTCTGCGCAAAAACCGCATACGAAAAGACTCTCATCTTTTAGTATGTTATTCTAGACTTAATTACCTTTCTAGGAAGCTATCATACGAGTCATAAAGTTCTCGTTTGCTCCAGATATCACCTTTGAAGTTGGACAAGCAATTCTGCCCGCCAACCCCAAAATAGCACCAAACAGCCTTCACTCAATCAAATTTTCTGGAAACTCCAGTTGACCAATTTCTCTCACATTTTTATACAAGAAACTAGACACCTAGATCTTCAATTTGATATATCATAAACCTAATTTGACTAAGAAACGAAGCGGGAATAATTTTCCTAAACTCGGTCCAGATCAACCCCATGTGCAGGGGCCAAAATAGCAGTCTGTGTTCTCTGCCTCGTACAGGCCGACGCCCAACCCAAAAAAATCGCACAATTTACCACAAGGTAGAAGACATCTCAAGCCTCAAAAAGGCGTATGGCACGTCCCTATCGGACCTTTGTGGAGGGAGATATGCTCTTCCAAAGGTCGCTTCAATGCATATAAATAATACAACATAACATCTGACAAAGGGATAAAGCAAGAGATTTAGTGAAATAGGGGAGCATAGGGATACAAAATACGACGAAGCTGGAATGGTCGATGCCAAAACCACGTAACGTCCAGCCTATTGGGTCGGCATATATGCCTACGGGTTTCAAACCAAGGCGTGTTCCCAGAACATCAAACCAAGGCGTGTTCCCAGAACATCAAACCAAGGCACCCTCCATCCATAACCACCCGAGACTTCTTAGTGTGCTCCTATCCGGATCACACACCACGACCCCAGGTCAACTGGAACTTCCTCACGGAGACCTATCCAGTGGAAGTCCGTAACGCCCGAAGACAAACAGTCTACTAGCCAGAGACACGGTATATCCTATGTACTAACACACATACAATATGCATGAACATGTTATCCTATATTATTTACATACACTTCCTACCATTATCCTCAACGGGCATGGTGGAACACACAAGGGGATCAAACCCCAGTACCAAGAGGTTACCTGTATAATCCTCTCCCTCAGCTCCAATGCAGTATATTTCCCGAGCAAGGTACACAACAGAAATGCCTACACAGAGGATATTCCCAATTAATTACCATTCATAAAAACACATGGAAGTTATTAACTCTTTAAGCATGGTTTCAAATACTCACCACAATCCCCTTTGGTCCGGGACCAAGGGTAACCCACCGAGCTCACGGTTCAGGGTTCAAATCTACGAAAGGCAACCTACAACGACCATATACGGATCGTCAGAACACGGTGAACCATCAATTTCACAAAACATCAATTTTTTCTCCCCCCACATGTGAGGTTCGGCCATATATGTATTAAAACACAAAATATTTTTCTTTATTTTCTTTCTATTTTTATTAAGCATCCCAAGGTTACCAAAATACCATTTTAGGTGTCACTTTTCATTTTACACCATTCTAATATCATTTTGCCCATTTATTTCCTTCCAGGGATAATACACAATCCAACACAATCCAATATTTTTTCAGTGATTTTCAAAGCTTCCAACCATCACACAACCCTTCTAATTACCATTTAACAACTCAACATGCCAACCATACAATTTCACAACATCAACACCCCATTTTTCCCTCTTTGGCTGAAATCATCATAGGCATACACCAAGGGATTTTCAATCCAATTCAACTACTCCACACCTCACACAATCATATTATTAACTCATACAAACATCCAACCATTCAATTACACAATTACATAACCAATCCAATTTCACCAATTCATGGCATCATCCAAAATTTCCTAAGTTATGATCACATTTCCACAATGAATCTTATTGCATTTATGGGTCCAACACATCATTCTAAGACATATTTATCTAATATACATTTTCCGTTTGAGCTCTCTAACAACACAAATCATACAAAATGCACTTAGGGTTCATGAATTAAATCAACAATTCCAACCAATAAAATGTGATGAAACTAAAAATATCCCATGGAGAAAACTGTGAGAGAACCACCAGAGCGATCATCGGAGGAGGAAGACATACTAAAGCGAAGTAATAAACGTAATAAAGATCGTGGAGAAAAATTCTCACATGATGTGGGTTCCTAGGGAGGAATCCTGGATGAAGGACCAAGAAGAGGGTCGAATTTCATGGAAGGAGATGCTGCAACGTCATAATGGAGAGAAGAATGATGGGGAGGGTGCTGATACTCTTGAAGGTGAGAATTTGCAGGGTGAACCAGCTGAGGAAGAAGACGTTAATTTTGGGGGCATAAAGATGTGGGTGGAAGAGGATGGAAAAACTCATTTTGGTTGCACTAATAGAGGAAGAAGACACTTGCATAGAGTGTGGGAAAAAGCTTTGATTGTTAAGCTGCTGGGCAGATCTACAGGTGTCTCGTTCATGAAGAAAAAGATTGAGGAGCTATGGGGAAGGAAAGGAAAAGTGAACGTCACTGATATTGGGAATGAGTTTTATGTGGTTCAATTTAGTGATGATGAAGACATGGAATTTGCTCTAAGTGGAGGCCCTTGGGTTGTCCTAGGTCATTATTTGTCCTTACGTAAGTAGGAACCTGGCTTCAGGCCTAATGCTGAGGGCATATCAAAGATAGCAGCTTGGATCCGCCTTCCTAATATTCCATTGGAATTTTATGATGAAGTTTTCTTTCGTAGGGTGGGTAACTGGATAGAGAAGTTAATAAAGATTGATAGGACTACAAACCTTCATGCTAGGGGTCGCTTTGCAAGGATCTGTGTTGAACTGGATTTGGCTAAACCTTTAAAAGGAGAGTATGTTCTTGAGGGAGTTTTGAAGCATATAGAATATGAAGGTCTAGGGCTCATTTGTTTCAACTGTGGAAAGTATGGCCATAGCAAGGATTGTTGTTCTGAGATTGTTCAAGAACAGATCGTGGTGAATGAATCTCATCCTTCTGGGGATGGTGAAGCTGATAAAGTTGAAGAAAACCAGAACGGTCTTGGCCCTTGGATGGTGGTTAATCGCCAACGCCGCCCTAGAAGCCAAGCTGCTACCCAAGATGGCAGAACGCCGATGACTTCGAGAAGAATCACTCAACGTGATTTCGGGGAGAATACTGCACAATCAAAGCAGTTATCAGTGCAATCATATCAGCCTGTTTTAAATGCAGTAAATACAAAATCACGTTATGATAGTTTAATGGTGATTGGGGATTTGAATCAAGCTGAGCTGGAAGTGATTAATGAGGAGCCTAATCATGGGCATAATCCTAGCGTAATTAATGACCAAAAATCAAGGGGAAATGAGGGAGCCATCAGCGTAGAAAATAATGGCATCATTAATAGGGTTTAAAAGGTTTTAATCGAAAAGATGCCTCGAGTCATTCTAGCATTGAATTGGAAGAACATGCAGATAGGTACATCCTTGTTGGGGGACCCTCAAATGATAGGGTAGCCTCTAAAATGTTCCTATGCCTTCAAAAAAACAGGATTTGGCCAATAATATAGGGCTACGTCAGAAAGCTATTGCTAAAATTCAGAACCAGCATCTGACTACCCCTGTGTTACTTGTAGATAGGCAAGTTGTGTTGCCTCCTGTTCAAAATACAGCAATGGAAGTGGATCAGAACGTTGGGGACCAAAGTGAGAGTGATAATGGTTTAAAATATCCTAAAGCTCCGGATCCTATTAGGACTTTGGTCACTACCCATTCGGATGCGTCTATTTTATCGCATCACATGGAGGTTGATAAAGGAGGTATAAATGAAGATAGTGTTGAGATTGTTAAGGGGTCAGCAGCAGGAACCTGCAACCCTTATGGTTGATTGATGTCTTTGCTGGCTTGGAATTGTCGCGGGGCGGCAAAGAAAAGGTTTTTGGGAACCTTAACTAGTATGATCTGAAAACACAGAATAGATTTGACTGCTATTTTTGAACCTAGAATAAGTGGTGCGAAAGCTGAAAAGATTATTAAAAGAACAGGGTATAACAGCTGTATTGTGGAAGAAGCTCAAGGTTTCATGGGAGGGATCTGGGTTTTGTGGAACAAGGAGTTCTGTAATGTTACGATTTTGGAAAAGAACATGCAAATAGTTCATTTGAAAGTTTGTTTCTTCCATAATGTTGCGTTCTTATGCACATTTATTTACGCCAATCCTAGAGAAGAGGTGCGACGTAGCGTTTGGCAGGATCTTCGTCGGATTGCTGATTCTATGAATGAGCCCTGGCTTATCACCGATGATTTTAATGAAATCGCATCCCCTTTTGAGAAACGTGGAGGTGCCCCGGTAGATTTATATAAATGTAACAGATTTGCTTCCTTGCTTACGGATCTGAAGATGATTGATTTGAATAGTTCCGATTCGAGATTTACTTGGCGTGGTCCTCGTTTCCTGAATATGGATAGAGTTTTCAAACGGTTAGATCGTGCTTGCAGTAACGATTTATGGAGGGTTACATTTGAGGAGGGTTATGTTAGAGCCCTTCCTAGGTTAAAGAGTGACCATATCCCCCTTCTTATATCCTTGTCTTCTTCAAAAGATGACTGGAAGGATTGTCCTTTCCGTTTCCATTCCTTTTGGCAGGACCATATCCTGTTCAATCAATTTTTAAAGGACAATTGGCACGTGCATGGGAACATTGCTGATTGTTTGAAGGTTCTTACCCCTTGCATTAAGGAGTGGAATGAGAAGGTGTTTGGGAATATTTAGCATAGGAAGAATAAGTTGATGAGAAGACTTGAAGGTATTCAAAGAGCCATTTCTGAGCACAATAAAGATTATCTGGAGAAAGTGGAGTGCAAGATCAAAGCTGAACTTGAGGAGGTCCTTGATCAAGAGGAGTTATTATGGTATGAAAAGTCTCGATCTCAGTGGATTAATCAAGGTGACAAAAACACGAGATACTATCATACAAAGACTATTGTCAGAAGGAAAAGAGGTAGAATCGTGGAACTCAAGGATGATAATGGAAGTTGGATTCGTGAAGAGGAAGGCCTGGTTAAGATGATCCGCGATTTTTATATTAATCTTTTCAAAGATGAAAGCTGTCATCGTGAGTGGATCAATACTAGATGGCCTATTGTTCCTGAGGAAGTCATGGATAAATTAAGGGTAAGTGTTACTAAGGAGGAAGTTAAAAAAGCTTTTTTCACAATGAAAGGCTCAAAAGCCCCAGGGGAGGATGGGTACATAGCTGCTTTTTATCAAAAGAACTGGAATCTGGTAGGTGATCAAGTCTGGAATGCTTTCCTAGCTTATTTGGAAAACCCGCAAACCATTGCTGATATTAATGGTACGATTATTACCCTTATCCCAAAGGTTAATAAGCCTACGTTGGTTTCTCAATTCAGGCCAATTTCCTTGTGCAATGTGATTTATAAAGGCATGAGTAAAGTTATAGTGGGTAGACTGAAGGAAGTAATGGAAGCTTTGGTTTCTGATAACCAAACCAGCTTTGTCCCAAACAGAAACTTGCAGAATAACATTATTGCAGCTAAAGAGATTGTCCATTCGATGACAAAGTTTAAAGGTAAGATGGGTACTATGGCCATTAAAATTGATTTAGAGAAAGCCTATGATAAGCTGAATCGGTCGTTTATTCGTAAGGTTATCTTTGAAATACAGCTTCCGTCTTGGATGGTTGAATTCATTATGGCGTCTATCACAACTAATAGTTTCAAAGTGCTTGTGAATGGGGGCTTGACTGAAACTATTATTCCTGAACATGGAATTCGTCAGGGTGATCCATTATCCCTATACATCTTTGTCTTATGTGTTGAAAAGCTATCTCATCTTATTGCTCAAAGGGTTGGCAGTGGTGTGTGGAAACCGATCAGAGTGTGTAGAGGTGGTCCAGCAGTCTCCCATCTCATGTTTGCAGATGATATTGTCCTTTTCTCTGAAGCTTCGGTGCAACAAATGCAGGTAATAATGGAGTGTTTAGATCTTTTTTGCAGAATGTAGAATTTGTAAATATCTGGGCTCTTTTCAGGCAAGGGCGAAATTTGAAATCAAATTATGCTGATCTATTGGATCGGGTTCGTAAGAAAACTTGATGGCTGGAAGCATCAAAGTTTATCTTTCGCGGGGAGAGTCACTCTGGCTAAATCAGTGATTGGTGCTATTCCCTGTCTTCATATGCAGAATGGTCTTCTTCCCACTTCTGTGTGTGATGAGATTGAACAGCTTCAACGAAACTTCATTTGGGGTATTAATAAAACTCATTTAGTGGCTTGGGACACAATGTATATGCCGAAGGAAATGGGAGTCTTGGTATTATCAGTACGTACT